TCTGTGTGTTTGTTTTTCTGCCAATATCGTGCTGTTTAGATTATTGTCACTTTGTATATAATTTGAAGTCAGGTAGCATGATACTTCAGGATTTGTTCTTTTACCTCAGGATTTTTTTTGGCTGCTGGGGGTCTTTTGTGCTTCCATACAAATCTGATGATCAACAGTAAGAAATTGAAATGATAATCAAAACCTTCCAAAATAAAAGTCCAGGGCTTCACTAGTAGATTCAACCCAACAATGAAAGATGATTTAATGCTGATCCTTTTAAAACTCTTCCAAAAATATTGAAAAAGATGCAATTCTTTCTAACTCATTTTATGAGGCCACATTACCCTGATACCAAAACCTGGTAAGGATAACACACAAACAGACACAAAAACTGCAGACCAATACCTCTGATGAATACAGATGCAAAAATCCTAAACAAAATACTATCACATTGAATAAAGCAACACATTAAAAAGATCACAAATCATTATCAAGTGGCATTTATTCCACTGGCGTAACGATGATGGTTCAACATATGCAAATCAATCAATGTGATCTATCACATGAACAAAATAAAAGATAAAAGACATACCATCATATCAATAGATGCAAGGAAAGCATTTGACAAGCTATAGCTTCTATTTATGATTAAAACACTTAGTAAAATGGGTATAGAAAAAAGTTCCTCAACATATTAAAGACCACATATGACAAAGCCTCAACAACATCATACATTCCTCAAAGCCATCCCTTAAAGATCAGGAACAAGACAAGGCTGTCCACTATCACTACTATTGTTCAATATAGTGTTGGAGGTCCTGATAGAGCAATCAGGTATAAGAACAAAATAAAAGGTCTCCAAATTGAGAATGAAGAAATCAAACTGTCTTTTTTTGCAAAGAAGATGATTCTCTCTACAGAAAACTCTAAATACTCCACCAAAAAATCTGTTAGAAACAATAGACAAATAGAGTGAAGTTTCAGGAAACAAAGTCAACATTCAAAAATCAATAGCGTTTCTATACACTAACAATCACATTTTAGAAAAAGAAATTCCTTTTTGCAATTGAAACAAAACTATTCCTTTTTGGAATCACAACAAAAAAATAAAATAAAATACCCAGGAACGAACCTAACAAAGCATGTTGAGGACCTATATATACTGAGAACTATAAGATATTATTAAAAGAAATTGAAGAAAACACAAAGAATTAGAAAGATATTCTGTGTTCATAACTGGAAAAATCAACATAGTTAAAATGGCCATATTACCCAAAGCAACATACAGATTTAACACAATTTTCATCAAAATCCCAATGGCATTTTTAAAGAAATAGAGTAAATTGCTTTCAAAGGAGGAGTAGAGTCATTCAGAGATGGAGGTTTAGAATTCGGCACAATGAATATGAAGTGAAGAAGAAATATCAAAGTTATAAATGGTAGGCTTTTGATTACATTTTGAATTTTTAAAATTTGGCAAAAACATATAAATGCAGACATCATAAATGTAAACAATGGAGAAAAAGAAGGACATATCTGAAAGTCTAAAGCAACCAATTAATTCTACAGGGAGAAAATTCACCTAATGTATTTGAGCATAGTGACATGACAACTAGTCATAGAATCAAAAAGAACAGTAACCACAGATAGCAAGCTGTGAAAGAATAATTTACAGTGGTGCTTAAATCTCAAATACTGGAATCTGAAGATTGATGATACTCAGATTAGACCACTTGATTTTCATTGTGAAAATATCGCTGAACTTTAACAGAGTCCTATTTACAGGGAAAGAAGACCAAAATACAAGAAAATGACAGGGCTTTCTGTTTGATCTTAAATATCAAGATATATATTTTTCAGCTGGAAACTAATTCCATATGAGTTCCTAGGAAATAGAGTGAATGACAGCACACAGCACTACACAATAATTGCAGCCAAGGGACTGTGTTCTCTGGAGTGATCACGAAATTAAACCACAGATGACCTAGTAAAATCATGTTGCATAGGTTTTCTTGGGCAATTTAAAGGTTTTAAATTACTCTTTCATTAGTACCATATCTTGCTGGGAACCCCTAGAAGGTAAGATGGAGGGAGATGGCACCTGCCAAAACATCTAAAATATTTTAGATTTCAACCACATGGAACTATATTTTCTTCAAAAACTATGTATATTAGAAACTTTATCGTCCTCTAAACAGGGAGGTAGTTTTTCTTTTTGACTTGCAACACATATTTTTATATTCTCTGTAAAATTATTGTATTTTTATATTTGTCACAGTTTTTTAGATGATAAATGAAATAATATCTTTACAAAACCCAGTGAGAAATTGGAGGATATTAAAAGCAATCTCAGATATGTTAGTTAACCTGCCTGGTAACACAGGTGTTGTTGGTAGAGTAAGACTGTAAACCAAGATTTGTGTGAACTGAAGGTCCATATTTTCCTTTTCTATAGAATAGAGGTAGAGGTCACATTTACTTTGTCAGTTCACTATATGCAGAGCTTTCTATCTATGGAATGAAGAAAGAGGCATGAAGAAGAAAGATGCACGAGTGTTGGAACTTGGAGAGATATGATTTACAGAGGTGAAGAATTAAAAAGCGGAAAGACAGCCAAAGTAAGGAAAAACCCCTGGGATGAGACCTAAGCTCAGATTTGTGTATTGTGTATTGATCTGTAGGTAGAATTGCACAGGGTTTGTATTGAGAAATGGATAACAAGAGACTTGAACTAGAGGTTAGAACAGTTTTCTATAATGCCTCGCAAC